TTATTTTTTGGAAATATCAAAAGTAGCTATCCTTATAATAAGTTGAATTATTGTAGACTTAAATAATTTTTTATTTGTGAACAATTTAATCTAATTGCATATTGATTATATATATATTGAAGTCTATGAAAATCCATGCCATATTCCACATGGCTTTTTTGAGCCTTATAAAACAACAAATATCTCAAAAAAAAAGACAAATATCACATTTTTTTTATAAAATAGATAATAATTAAGAGTTTAAGATAGAAGAAGTTTTAAATTTAAGGTGGCACCAAAATAGATTGGAATATCTTATTCATTAGCATGGATATGATATTAATAAATTTACATGGAAGCCAACAAAAAATCTTGAAAATATTGGTAAAGAAGGTTAGAGCTTTTCATCAACAACATCTATCAAAATCAAGATGAAGAGTCAAAAAAATATTTGCTATAAAAGAAAGGATGTTTAATAAAGATTGTATTCCATCTTATATCCTTCATTATAATATCTTTGTATTAATTGCACTAACAAGATAGAAAATCAATAGTCAATAGATTCAACTTAAGAACTATTGATTGTTGATCTACCAGAGAAGACATTACAATTATTACAACCTTCAAAAAAGACAAATTCTTTCTCAAATAGATGGCATGATACAAGACATTTGGTATCATGACTTTAGAAAAGACTCTTGTTATTTGGTTATTTTATTAGAAGTAGGAAAAATCTCTGATAGTATTACAAATATTTTATTTGAAAGAAGTACAAAGGCTTCAATAATAATCAAATAATAGGATGGTCTCCTTGTCTTGAAATGGAATATTATTGACATGTGAAAAGACCTATCAACTACCTTCAAAAAGAAAAAAAATCAAAGTATGTGGCAAATATAATTTATTAAAGCTTATATTTTATTATCATGTAATTATTGCTTCTCTTAGAACTCATGTCTAAAAAGGAGGATAATATCATAAACATAGATAATTATTTTAATAATTACTTAAATAATATGAATAGATAGAAGTAAATAAAAATAAATTAATTTGATAATATCTTTTAAAAAAGCTTTCTAAAAGCTTTATAGATGTAGTTTCTTCTTTGTATGTGTTTATAAGTAATTGATAGGTTAGAAACTTAATTAAAAAATTAGCCTCATATGTCATATGTTAATAGCTTATGGTAGAATCTAATAATATGGCTGCATATAAAAAACTTGTCTTTCAAGTTAAGACATGTGACTTGCAAATTGGACATGTATAAAAAGTCCCATAGAATGTGGCCATGTAGCTCCTAGTTAGATAATATATATATAGAGGCAAGAATAAAGTCTAATTTTAAGGATCTCTAATTTTCTTATCATTTGGCAATAGCCATTCTAGTTTCTTTTTAATATATATATATATATATATATATATATATATACATACATTCTTATTTTTATTTTGTTATCTTTCTTTAAGAAAAGTTTTACTTGTTCATTTGCTTTCATTAAGTTCTTGTCATTGATACTTGCTCTTCTTTTGGTATTTTGATTTCAAAATCACTAATCTCGTGAGGTAGATGATTTGATGAAATATCAAGTGATATTTTAAAATATCATGGGATACTTTAAGCAAATATCAGAAATGAAATATCATCCAAAAAAGCCTTATTTGAAACCCCTTAATGGATAGACATGGTAAATTTTTGAAGAAATTTTTATTCTTTTGATAATTTTTTAGTAAATATAATTTTTATATTAAATAAAGAATAAAAAATAAAAATAAAATAATTTAATTATAAATAATATATATAACCTATTATATTAAGTAGAATATTTTAATTATTTAAAATTTAAAATTATTGATTTAATATTTTAGATTATTAGATTTTTAGATTCAAATATATTTTGAAGAAATTGAAGCACCATATGGATCTTTAAATTAGAATATTATGAAGTTCCAAATATGACTTTTTTGGATTATATTTTATTCATGATGCAAGCTCAAAGTATCCCATGATATTTTGAAATATCACTTGATACTTCACCAAATCACTTACCTTATAAGGTAGGTGATATTGAAATTGAAATATTCAAAGAGAGACAGGTCAAATATCAAAAACTATATTGCTTACCTTAGGTCTCTTCTCTCTTTGATTCTATACCTAAAGAATAATAAAATTTGAATTAGAGATAATATCAAGGAGTAATAAAGCTTGAATGGTAATATTTTGGATTTGATATTTTAAGTGATCTTAAAAATATTAGGTATTAAATGCGAATTATTTGGTTTTGCAAAAGTACCATGTTTAAAATCCAATATTATCAATACATAATTGTACCAAAGCTATTCATGTATATATTTTTTTAAATATATATATATATTATTATTACCAGGATTATTTTTATTATTTATAATATATTTTGTAACTATATTTACATATTTTATTTATTTATTTATTTTTAAAAAATTATATTATTATGTTATTATAAAATATATTTTATTTTTAAAATAACACTTATCTTGACTAATAGTCATTATATTTTAAGGTATCATATTTTTAAAATTTTATTACAAAATATAAGTTAATTTTAATCAAATTTTAAATTATCAATTATAATAATATTTAAATACATGATCTTTATATAAGAATCTATTTGGTATAATATTAACAATATTATACAATTATTTACGAAAGTAACTTTATTTTGCTTAATGCATTTATGCATAATATGGTCAATTATTAGTTTAGCAAAATTTGTGGTAAATATGATATTACAAACTTAATTAACATTTCTACTATGATCTCAATCATCTTTTAGATTGATATTATTCTTATTGTAAAATTAAAATATTGAAAATAAATATATAATTAATATAAAAAATTTATAAATCTAATACTTCAAAAGATGTTTTGTGTACACCTAAATTTTAATAAGTCAATGCATCTCAAATAAAATATGGTCATATTTACATTAATACAACTAATGACTTAAAAATAAAAAAAAATGCATCAATTTTATTTGGAAACAAATAATGTTATGCTCTTCCTTTTGAAAAGTAACAAAATTTTTGAAGTAGCAAGTTTGACCTTAAATGATGAAAATCAGTTGTGATATCTTGAAGATCCACAAAATAAAACACAATAGGAAATTAGGTAATAAATAATTCACAAATAAAACTGTAAATCTAATTTAAAAGGGCATCTACTGAAAATCAGAATGTAACCTTCTGTGGTGATGAAACAACATAGTATATAATTCAACGATACTAAATCTTCACCGCACAATATCAAATGATAAAAAGAAATAAAAACAGAGTGTGTGGTAAGGGTTCATAACTTTGAATTCCCTTTCATGTGAATACTGTGCACAGATTTTCTTGGCATAAAAAATTCAATGGCTCACAACAGCCAAATCTTGTTAAAAACATTGATGTATCAAAGTCATGACAACACATTCAACCAACAGATTCAACAGCATCCAATTGATTTCCAAAATTTCCAAACAAACAGCAAAAATAAAAAGAAAAAAGAAAAAAAAGAGAAAAAAGGAAAACTAATCTAACAACGATCCAAGGAATAAATCCATGGCTTGATCTCAAACCCACACAATTCAAGAAAGACAAAGTCAGAAGTGATACATAAATAAATAATAATAATAATAAAAAAACCACCAGAATCAGTACAGGAAAAAAAAAAAACAAAAACAAACAAACAAACAAACAAACAGAAAAACTGTAGAATTGTGCACAGGATAGTTGAAATATTATAATGAACCACACACACACACATATCCACACAAACCCAATCAATTTTGTTATAGAAAAATCGTAGCAAGTTGTAGCAGTGACCCAGAACCAGAATCTAGAAACAAGGAAGAGAGTGCGAGAGAGAGACCATGAGGTAGAATGAAGAAACACCGGGAGAAGTAAAGTACAAAAACGAGGGGGTAGTGGAAAAGGCGAAGCATGGCGAAGCATGAGGAGGAGGAGAATGAAGATGATTATGATGGTGTGGGAATGGGATTCTTCATCCCTGGAAGAAAAAGAAAAAAGAAAAAAAAGCAAGAAAAAACATTCTCGTTGGCCCACCGAGAGCACGGACGGACGCGAGCTAGCGTCGCAGGCACAGCCCAACTCGCAGCGTTGTTGGGATCCTAGACGATGCTGGAATCAAGCTGTGGCTGTGGCTTTGTTAGCTAGCGTGAGAGGTGACGAAATCCCTATGATTGACGGTGGCTGCAGGCTTCACCGAGAGGAGAGCCAGACTGTGCTACATCGCCACCGATTGCAAGACACCCATCCAAACCGCAACGATCGATGAGACTCATGCGCTGATGATTTAGACGGGTGGCGTGGCGTGGGTGTGGGGTGGGGTGGGGAGGGAGGTGGCGCTTGTTGCCGGATGGAATGCCTTGCAGTCAGAATAATGCCAGTGATGCATGACAACACATGGAATTCTGATGGGACCCAATCAAGTCGGGTTTCCGTTTGACCTTTCCCTTGGCCCTGTCTTTCCAGCATCTGCTCGCACCCTGGCGGTCTCAATTTCCCGCATTGAAATTCTGACCCTTATCTCGGCTCATCCATCCCTTTTTTCTTCACGGAACCCCACAATCAGCCTCGTGTTCATCCAGCGCTTCCCCTAGAAGTGCGGAGCGGCAACAGAATTCCACCAATGCCCGGGGCCAGTCCCTGCGGGTCTTCGTTTGACCGGGAGAAACCGAGTGCGTAGAAAAACAGGTCCCCTATAAAAAGACAGGGAGCGCGTCTGATTGACTTTGCGGCCGCATAAATGCGCCCCCGACTGCATATATTGACCATCTCACCGCACTTCCATCTTCACCGCCATTCAAGCTTCCCCCCCATCCACCCCCCTCGCACTTCTAGATTTACTCACTCGATGGATCGATTTCGCTGATCCTTAACGGCAGGCAGGTGCTCAAATAGAAAGGGGATCGTCGGGACGGCGACACGGCTGCTTAATTCAGTTGACCGTTACGGAGAAAGTTTGGTTTTAGTTGTCAGTAAGTGTACAGCTCCTAATTGTGCATGTCTTCAAGTTCTGGGGGCGTTCTGAGGGTTTGTGAATTTGGGAGACGTGGGGATTGTGAGGGAGCGTGGATGTTGAGGGTGAATTAAGAATTTAAGATGAGGGTTTTGTGAGGGAGCTTGGTTGTGGTGGAGTGTGAGAAATCGGTAATGGAATCTGCACGGCAATGCGTTGCTGTAGTTTTGAGGGCTAGCCAGTTCAGTGGCAGAAGGATACAAGAGTTTTTATTGAATGGAGATTTCGTTTTTCGTTGACGTCGTCGACGGAGGAATCTAGAAGATAGTAGCGGGAGAATGAGATGTATGAAAGGATAACCGACAATCACAGTCTTGGTTTCATGAGGAGATAGTGGCATCCCTTCATGAGTATTGCATAGAAAGCTTGAAAATTCATATCGAAAAAATAAACATTGAACAGATGCCATTACACAGCATTTTTTTTTCATGAGCTGAATTTCTCAAAGGTTTTATCTTATTCATTGTGACAGGTTCCATGATTCATCAAGGACTCGCGGGACAAGAATTTCCCCCAACTTCACCAGTTTCAAACCACCTCATCTCTGCTCTCAGAAACTGGATCGAAAGTTTCTTAGATATTCCTTGAACCAGCATCTGTATATTTGTGGTCTTTACTTCTGGAAGCCGTCCCACGATCCGCATTAGTCACCCACTCAGTGACTGATCACACGCACTCACACCCACAAACACACAGGCCATTCGACATCATGGCAGGAGGCAGCAGCAATACCGGTTTCTTCAACAACTCCAAACCCGCCAAAGGCACCACTGAGAAGAAGAAGCGCAAAAGACCTTCCAAGAAGGTCCCAACTACAGTGCTCGATTCGAGCAGTGAGAATTTCATGACCTTGGTGCAGAAACTCACAGGATCAGCTGACGAGGTCGTAGCCGCCAGGGAGGCCGAGAATCGTCGAGCTAGCGGCGTCACTGATGCTCCCAACTCCAGGAGCCCATCTCCATACGCCTCTCCTTATTCGTCTCCCTCGGCCCACGCACAGCATGACTCCGACCCGCATCTCACATCGCATCACACCAGGTCCGAGTCATACTATCCACAGTACCATCAGAGCAGCAGAATGGCCGGGTATCAGGATTTCGTTGACGGCAATCCATCTTCTCACGGCAACTACAATTCCGCTTCATACTCTAGTTTACACAACACGCCGAGCTATGATCACCACCAAGCGACCTCCTCGAGCGGGTACAATTACAACAGCGGTGGGGGTGGATATTTAGGCAGTCATCAGCCAGATGACGATTACAATCGGCATTGTAGTGGTAGATCTCATGATACAAGTGATGATTACGGCCCCTCCTCTAGCTCGAGGGCGCTGGAGTATGACAATTCACCTCACGCATGGCGATCAGATCAAATGAACCATTCTTGTGATTACTGGTACTCGGCCGACCAAGTCGCCACCATGCGCGCATGAGATGCTGTCTGATAGCGTCCTGTAGTAACCAAATGTCATGACTGTTAAATTGTGTACAGCTAGCGATTGATCAACCAAGAGTCGCATGTGGCAGTCTCAACGACTCTTAGATTTTTGCGGGAATTAGCGGAAGTATGTATGTATAACGCCGTACTGAGTCTCATTGAAATACGTTTCACTGACAGCTACAACCGTTGTGTTATGATGTCTTCTTGTTCTTTATTTTTATTTATTTTTTCGGTGTAGTTTGGTAAATCTGGTTAAATCACACAAACGTCAGAACATCCACCTGCTTTGATTGAGAAATTGATTTCATCACTCAACACCGATCGGTGGCGCTTATCATGGACTGGACAGTGGGCAGACGAGCTCAAGAAGTGGGTCGTCAATGGATAAAGTTGACAGGAAACTTAGCTAAAAACACGGCGATAGAGCACGTACCACCACGACCTTGTTGGTTTAATCTGCAACTCTGACATGTAACTAGTCCTAGTAAGAGCAGTGACTGTAGCACCCAACCTGGGTGAGTGACAGTAGTCAACTTTGATTCGAAGCCTCAACACGTGACAAGCGAAGCCCAGTGGAACCATAGTCAACTCCGAATCTTTCGCTTAGTTTCACACCTAATCCAACACTCAAGCCTCCAAATAGAAACTAAGAAGTCCACTTACCTGTCAAGACATTTCCACGCAGGTAATGTAGCACAGTGCCACCCACTGTCAAGTTCAACATCAATTAATGCTGTCCGCGGAGCCGCATGTTTGAAGACCTGAACATTCTTGCTTCTATATTACGTTTCGAAGCATACAGAATGTCGTAGTACTTTTTGCAAGAGAACTTAGCATACTGGGTTTGTGTAAGAATATATTCGTGCTTCAAGAGTATTCCGTTCTTGTCCCCGCTTCTGCCTCCCACTAGTTTTGCTAAAGTCGTTTCTGTTCATTCTAGGGTCCATCTCTAGATCCTCTCCAAATCTTGTCACTGCATTTCTGGTCTGTTCGCGTGCTGGATGCTGGCGATCACGGAAAAAGAGCAGTTTAAACAGTGACTTCTCAGTCCAATTTTTCGAACTACGCTCGATTGAATAACTGATCATTTAAGTGAGTAGCTCTTGTTGCAAGGCAGAGTACTTTCTCAAAATGAACTTTACGACACGTGGCGTGGAAGATAATTCTTTGCTAGTGAATCATCCGCAGTGAAGTATTTAAGCCCTTCTTTGGATGTGGTAGCGGCCTCTTTGACAAGCCAGAACTAGTTGAGACTGTGGGGAACAATTTATTACCACTCACCAATGAGATGATTCGCCCGGAACGCCCGAACTATGGCGAACGCCAGAATGGGTTCAAAGGAGACGCCCAATGACTGTGTAAATGATTCCCTACCTGGGCTGAAGATAGAAGAGATCAGAGTAGAGGAGGTTCAAGCTGCCAGAGGACACTGACCTTAATTACACCACAGAAAAAGTGGAGATTAGCGACCTCACTATCGCTGTGTGTAAGGTGTAGACTTAGTTCAAGCCTCGAAATAATGAGATTGGTGGGAACGATGAAGGATCGCAACCTCAGGCAGTTAAGGAAAATGCCCAAGGCAACGCCGCTGCACCAGCAACCCCTCCACAAGATTGGAAAAGATGGTACTGACTAGATATGAAAGCTTCATCGTACATACAGCAAGAAGGAAATGTGCAAATTGAAATTCCTGTCAAATGTAGATGCTGCACTGCTTCATTTTGCATACATGAGGTTTTGAGAGTACATAGAAAGGAAATAGAAGATGTTTAATTCCAATACGAATTACAAAAGCATCAATAAAGAGCAAAGTTTGCAACTTACACCTCGTTTCAACTTAAGTTTCAACAACTATTAATAATGGGTGTTCGAGGATGACCATCTGCATGCGATCGGTCACGTCAGCTGGCAGTGCATTCAGATGCTGCACCAATCCAACGCCGCATTCATTGCACAATAACGATGCCGCCTCCTTCTCTGAAACAGGGGATGAAGCTCGCACGAGGTCATCGAGCGATCACAATGCATCAGAGTGTTGCCAACTCGAATCTGCACGTCAATTTCACTACACTATTTTGAACGACGTAAAATCTGGTGAAAAACTAGGAGATTCCTTTCCTCAAAGTCTACAAGGAGGTCCATGGTAGCATCCAAAAACCACCTGAATCGTCTTCACGGCAAAAGTTAGAGTATCCCACACCACATAAAGGCGCTTACATGCATGCATGGCCCGACCATTGTCTGCCCTCTCTACAGTCCAGAAGGATCGGAATCGCCCCAGACATGCTGGAAGTAGAGATCCAGGAACATCATGCATGTAAAAAATCCTCTTGAGGTGTCGAATCTTATACCAAATAATGATGTCAAACTTTCCCTCCGGCGTGAAATCTGAAGCAAAGCCCTACTGCGCCTCTTCGAACAGGCCCTGCCCAACTTCTCGTCAATGGTGATTGCAAAATTCAGACGAAGATGCAAGCCTGCTCAGTCCAATCAGTCCGAAAAATCCAAAAACCGACCGATGGTCCTCACAGATCAACCTTGTCCTACACCCAGAACAACAACAGAACAACTCCCAGTCCGATTTCGTGTCTACATTCCTTACCGAAACCTTGGTTCAGGAGGATCCCAACAACTCTTGTGGAAGCTGCAACAGTACGCACGAAATGCTCAGCGACCACCAGGAAACACGCGACGTTGGTCAGCAAAACACTAAATTGGCCTCAGAAAACTTAGGATTCCGGACCAAGCCCTAAATTCTGTAGAGCAGATCCCACCACCCCATCACCCGAAGTCTTGAGGTCACACTCTTTTTCGCAGCCCGCTTTTGGCGTCACTAGATTTCTAAAGGTCTCGTTCTCTGCTGGACTCTAGCATGCAAAGGCCATTGACTTCCATGCAATTTTTGCCATGGCTCCCCATTTTCTGATGGCGATGACTCAAAACTTTTGAATCTGTCGTCAGAATAGAACCAAGACATGTTCGGAAGATGTCTTTTCAAGCTTGGATTCGACGATGAGTTCCCTCTCCTCAATGGGTCAAATTCTGCAGGAGAGAGAGAGAAACGCAGAGCTCTGTAGCTGATGTTTGATGAGTGGAACATGGCACCAAGATTGATTAAGGCAGTGGCTTTGACAAACCAGCCTCACCTTGTATGTTTTAATTCTTTTGTTAGAGAATAGGACTTGAAGGGAGACAAGAGAAGGTGCCTTTAGAGTTGGTTTTGAATGATGAGTTTGTAATGATTTTGTAACAACTTTGCAAAGTCATGGTTGTTTTGGGATGAGTTCGATTTTGAGAAATAAGAAGGATTTATATTTTGGACCATGTTGTAATATTTGTATTGGAACCCCAATTAAAAATTTGTAGATTTGTGATCATAATTGGTTCAAATGTGTGTTGTAAGTTTGAATTAGATCTAATAGTTAATTTCAAGATTATTGAAACTCAAGTGGGTTGAGGTCTCAAAAATTGGAGTTTGAAGGACCAAAGAGGGTTTCCAAGATATGCAACAATTTGATAATTGGATTGTAATAAAATTTTTGATCATTAGTAGCAAACTTCATTTTCTATAAATTTGCAAATAGTGAAAGCAATTAAATAATAAAATCAAGAAATGTTGGTGGTGGGAGATTAGTATTAAGATTAGTGAATGAGGTTGACTAACATCCAAGTAGATTATGAGGATTATCTCCTACTAAATATATTTGATCTTCTTCAAAATTATTGGACTTTCTTTTAACTAAGAAATTGAGAGTTATACAAATTTTGAGCCAAAATTAAAATTAAAATTATTAAATATTAAGGTTTTTTTTTGCTTTGGAATTTTAATAAAGATTTTATTATAGTTATTTAGGATTTTATTAAAATTTAATTAAGATTTGATTAATTTTTTATTAGAATGTAATTGAGATTTAATTAAAATATATTAAAGATTATTTAAAAATTATTTAAAAATTGATTAGAATATAAAAAGATTTATTTAGGTTATTTTTTTAAATTTGATACAATGTACTTAAAGTAATTATGAATTTACTTGGATTATTTAAAGATGCCATAGGATGTTTCTAAAATTTTATGCATTATTTTAGATTGTAAATCAAACTTTAAAATAAGTTTAAACTCTTCTACAACTAAATATCTAGTACATTTTCAAATTAGTTTTTACATAACACAACAAGAACAATAGAAATATGCATTAATATGGAAATATTATACTCAAGGACATTAATAAAGACTATATAGAGAATATAATAGATAATATATTAAATATTCTTTTTTAGAAATAATACAACTTGGTAATTATAGCATGTAGATGATACTAATAAGATTTTTATTTAAAAAAGCAGTAATAACATCAAGGTGATAAATGGACCAACCTTATTAAGTTGAAATTTTTGTGATAAATCAAATAGACTTTCAACAAATAGGAGAAGCAAATGTTTCTTAAAAATCGATGCCATAGATCTGTTTATTATTTCTTGCCACAATTCTTGCTTTGAATATAAATTTTATTATAAGGTGATTGTTAGAATGAGATTTATATTTAAAAATCCAATGAATAGTGATGGGCCAAATGGTAGGTAGTAGAAGTACTAATGTCCAAGCAATATGTTTTTGAATAGAAAAATGTAACAAGGCATAGATAGGACTTTTGTATTATTTTCACATAGAAATATGTAGTTGGAGTCATTTTTGGGAAGTTTCTAGAATTGAGGTTAGGATGGTACTTTATATAAGATCTACCATAGAATCTTCTAAAAAGACTTAGGGTGGTTATCATGGTAGGACCTATCTCTAGAAGCTTCTAGAAGGGCAATTATCTTGGTAGGATTTACCATTAAGGACATTCTAAAAAGTTCTAAGATAGTTGAATAAAATATAAATAGAATTGGTTGAGACCATTTGGACATTTGATTATGTATGGCTTCAGATTTTTTTTCTTAGTAAAGTTTGGTTGCTTTTTCTTGTTCTATTCTATTTGGTTGTCTTTGGTCTTATTCTCTTTTACTCATTCTAACTTTCATGTTCCATTCTATATAGTTACTTTCAGTTTAATTCTAGTGTGCTTGATCTTATGTTGTGTTGAGATCTTTGTTGTTATAGAGTTGATAAGGTTTTAGACCTTAAAAAATCTACTCTTGTTTCATTAGTATCAAAGTGAATATTAATCTATTCTTTGATACTGTGTTGATAGCCATCATTTAATTAGAAGTCAATTGTTGTGATCACATCAAATATTATTTTGGG